TAGAGACGGGGTTTCACCATGTTGACCAGGATGGTCTCGATCTCTTGACCTCGTGATCCACCCGCCTCGGCCTCCCAAAGTGCTGGGATTACAGGCTTGAGCCACCGCGCCCGGCTAGTGTACTCATCTTAAATGTCCAGTCTGATCAGCTTTTAGATATGTAACACACCCATATTAAGATTTTTAATTCATGGAATTGGGGATTTAGGGCATTGCAGAAAGCCCCCTTTGTCTACAGCAAGTTAACCATTTATTTCAGGTTAGTAGTGTCACACATTGACTTCATCACGCTACCTATATCTGAAGCAAGAATGAATGTACCCACCCACATTCACTGACAGGCAGCCTGTTTAATAGTTATTGATACTTATTTTATGCTTATGTCTAAAATGGTCCTTCATTGCCTTCATGGATAGTTTGAAATCTATGATGGATATTCTGACAGTTGTTAAGGTTTCCCTGCCTCTAGAGTTTATTATGTTTATCATGTAGGCCAGGATTTCTTAACCTCAGCACTATTGCCATTTGGGCTGGATAATTCTTTATTGGGGGAGGGCTGTTCTGGGCATTGCAGGATATGTCCCTGCGGGGGCAAAGTCACCCACTGTGGAGAACTGCTGGGTGCAGGCCATGAGAAAGGGACCAGGCTACTGTAGCACTGTTTGCTTCTGAACAGGCAAACACAAGATCCTCTTGTGAGGAACAGGCAAAACCGTGATCATCACCACCACAACCACCACAAGAGCAACACAAGGAACACACAAGCAAACAAAATCAAAAGTAACTCTTTACTGAGAGCTTACTGTCTGCCGGACCATGTGCATAGCTTATTCCTAATTCCCCCAACAAGGAAGTGCATTTTTTCCCCAATATTGTGGGTAAAGAAACTCTGAGAGGGATCGGGTGTGGTGGCTCACGCCTTTAATCCCAGCGCTTTGGGAGGCTGAAGTGGGCAGATCACAAGTTCAGGAGATCAAGACCATCCTGTCTAACGTGGTAAAAGCCTGTCTCTACTAACAATACTAAAAAAAATTAGCTGGGCATGGTGGCATGCCCCTGAAGTCCCAGCCACTTGGGAGGCTGAGGCAGGAGAATTGCTTGAACCTGGGAGGCGGAGGTTGCAATGAGCAGAGATCGTGCCACTGCACTCCAGCCTGGACAACAGAGTGAGACTCTGTCTCAAAAAAAAAAAAGAGAAATTTTGAGAGGTTAAATGGCTTATTCAGATTACTCAAGTTGTAGATGGAGGAACAATCATTTACGTTTCTGTCTGTCAGATCCCAAAAAGTCTGTGTTTGGTCCCATCCACAATGCTGCTTACACAGCCTGTACCAAACATCAGATGCTTTGTCCAAAAGACACATTTTTTGCCTCCCTGTTAGTAAAAGGTGGGAGAAAAAACTACAAATAGTAAAGACCTGCAAATTTAAGTCAGAATCATTTTGTAGCATTCAGGTTTGCTGAACTTAAATCATTTACTTGATTAAAGTGTGCCTGCCAAATGGAAGCTTACTGAAGAAATATGGAGACACAACAACTTCTCTGTCAATATATTTAGGCTGCCAGGAAAGCTCTTGCAGGCCTGGAAGTGACTCTTCTTCTGGCTTGTCCTAATACTTGTCACTTTCTGCCTGGGTTTTAGAAATGGCAGTCACTTGGAGTTGCTTAAGCAAAGTAATTCTCCTTTGCTTAAAACTAGTCTTTGACTTGCAGATAAATGAGCTAAGATATCAATATCTGTGACATGCATCTCCTTAATTTTTACTAGAGCAGTGTTCATAAGTGATTCTGAAAATACACATTTGATAATGCTCTTATCAAATGAGTAACAATACTCTTTTGTAGGTGTTAAGACATATGAGGATGGAAGAGATTCACAAGTTGCCTTTTAGCATAAACTGTGTCATAATTTGTCAAAGAAAAATAATTTTCCCCTTCCTTATTTCTTACAGTGCTTATATTGATGCAGTTATAATATAAAAGGTTATTATATAAATATTTGTAACTACTTGACATGTTCAAATGAAGAGTTAGGGAGAAGTGAACAAATTTTTCTACTAGAATTGACTGAAGGTCTAAGTTTACCTCAAGATAGGGCATAAACAAGCTCACGGGTTTACAGTGAGTAGTCCAAATCAGTCATTCATGTAAGCATTTCTGCCTTGTTTATAAGATCTTTTAATAAGTACAAGAATTGCATTTCTTAAGTATTAAATGTTTGGATTTTGCAAAGCTTGGATTAGTCCCAGGAAGCCACGCTTATATTTTGCCAGTGGAAAAATGATGACCTCATTTAAATAGATCATTCTACTTAACAATACAACAGTAACTCCAAGCTCAATTAGTGTAATTGTTCTTTTCTGGTGGAGATACATTTATGTTCGATTCTTAAGCAGTAACATAATTCTTTTTGAACTAGCCAATTGCTGATACTTTGTGGATTCAATAATACATTTAACCTTATGCTAAAATGTCTTACTTTTTCTTACATTGAAAGAGGTACTTGAATTTATCAGATAAAATTATAACCCAAAGATTCAATATATTCCTAAAACTGCTTATATTTAGAGATTATTGAAATTCTTTAAATGATTTGATGGTATTTCTTAAGAAATATAAATCAAGCATTCTTAATGTCACACTTTATAACTGTATGGAGGCAGGGTGCAGTGGCATACGCCTGTACTTCCAGCTACGTGGGAGGATCACCAGAGTACAGGAGTTTGAGACCCGCTTGGGGGATCACCGTGAGACTCCATCTTAAAAAAAAAGAACTATGTGGAAAAATGGTTCTCAACACATTAAAATTTAATGCTTTCTTAAAACCAGCAACTTCTTGTTTTTCTCAGACTATTTTAACTTTTTCTTAGTGATTAGTTTTGTACAATATGGCTATCTGAAATAATAAGGGATTTACATTTGGGGGATCAAATTTGACTAAACTATTCAATACTAGACTGGAGAATTTCAGTACAGAAACCAAATGTGCAGAGGACTGATATCTAATCAGTATGTACCAGTCGAGAAGAGCTATTGTGCAACATGGTGATTAGAGTTAATAGCAATGTATCATATACTGGAAAATTGCTGAGAGTAGATTTAAAATATTCTCACCACAAAAAATAAGTATTTGAGGCAATGGATGTGTTAATTAGTTGACTTAGTATTCCATAATTATACATATAACAAAATATCATGTTGTGTGTCATACATATATACA